ATTCTTATCGCTCTTTTTTGTAATATATACAGTGGTTGAAGCGAGCTTTTATATGTATTTCCCCAGTTTTCAACAACATACAAAATGCGTAGTGCTTTCACGTCCAACATATATCTAACCTTTGCCAATATCGATATATTTTTTGCTATTTTGTGCTGAATATATCTGATATGAGATTTCCAGGCGAATTTGTCATCAACTATGACACCTAGAAATTTAATTTCATATACTCGTTCTATATTAGCTCCCCCAATTTTCAATTGAAGTTCATTATCTAGTCTACGATTCCCAAATACCATAAATTTAGTTTTATCCAAATTCAGAGATAGTATATTACTGTCACACCATTTCTTTATCTTCTCAAGTTCCTGTGAAACCCGTTCTGAGAGTTGCTGTAGGTTTTCACCAGATGCCCATATGGTAGTGTCATCAGCAAATAAAACCACTTTCACTAAATCGGAAACCTTGCATATATCGTTAATGTATAATATAAATAATTTAGGTCCCAATACTGAACCCTGAGGCACTCCACATACAATGTCCAGCTCACTCGATTGATATTCACCCAACTTCACAAATTGATGCCTCTGTGTCAAATAAATGTGCATAGTTGTATTTGTTACACTGTAACATACTGTATATAGATTACAGGTGATTAGTGTCACATATTTAACTAGGACAAATATTTAAGATTATGTGTAATATGTATGCTGTTGTAATGTTGGTAGCCTGTGTCCATCAGACCTACAGGTACAGTGTGTGGTCAGGTTAGGTTGAAGGTAATTGTCAACAGTATATTAAATAAGTCAAATTAATGTTTAGCGTTTGCCCATTTTTACTGTAAATAAATAAACATCTACTTTCATAACTTACTTAGCAGAATTAAATAGTAACCACGGTGCCTGGCCTTTTATCATGGATATACATTAACGTAACAGACAACCAAGCCGAGTCCAAATAAAAATGTTTAAAGTAGGAACCTTAGTCCAGAGTCTTGTTGCGTTGTTTGATCGATACACGACTCCCTACCACTTTCAGATGGTGTGTAGTTACAATGGAATTGCACTCTACACTGTTACTGGGATTAGGTGAATGAAGTGTAGTGGTTCAGTATTTGGGAGGCTGCATGTTGGCTAAAAAGGGGCAAAAAGACTAACAAATGCTAGGTCTGATTTGAAGAACTGGATTATTTGAAGTTCACATCTACAATACAGTAGAAACAACAAGGCCCTCCCATTTTAAATGATTTTCAAAATACAGACTTCATTGCACAATATGTGCAGAATACAACCACTTTATCCAGATCCTCTCACTGTAGGGGTCAAGCAGACAGGCTTTTCCTTTAATTTGTCACCAGAATGTAATGTTTTTTGCCTTTTGTTAACTGTCTAATGATAAGCTTGGGAAATGTTTTCCCTTAAGTTCATGATTATTAACTTCTGTAATTTTGGGAAGAGGCATAGGTTCAGCTTAGCCTTCATATCTTCAGAAAGGCCCACCGTCACTGGAAGTATGCATCACCTGAACTGGGTCTGTCATTTAAATATTACCGAGAGACTGAGTTCATGTAACCGTTCTTCTCTGACAGTTTAACTGTGTGGTTTCTCTCCAGGAGCGGACAGCAGTGTTAGCAGCGTTGGCAGAGAAGGCCAGGCTAACAGAGGAGACTTTCAACACTGTACCTGGTATAACCTGTAACCCAGTCCAGGGGGCTATGTACACCTTCCCCCGCATCACTCTACCTCAGAAGGCCATTGATAAAGCAAAGGTCTGCTCCACACATGCTAATCACCATAATTTACTCACCTGTTTAGACCATTTCATGTCCAAATGTATATGTCCACAGGAAGAAGGCCAGGTTCCAGACATGTACTACTGTATAAGGCTGCTGGAGGAAGAGGGGATCTGCCTGGTGCCAGGAAGCGGCTTTGGGCAGAGAAAGGGGACCTTCCACTTCAGGTTAGTGCAACACCTCAAGCAGTCTCACTACTAACCTGGCCATTTTTTCATGTATCCTCACAAAAATGATATTGCATCCATGACAGTTCTATCCAACATCCCTGCTCCTATTATGCCTTCCTCTATCTAGGATGACCATATTGCCTCCTACTGAGAAGCTGAAAGTTGTGTTGCAGAAGATCCGTGACTTCCACCTGCGGTTCACACAAGAGTTTTCATAACAATCTTCCAACTATCAACTGCATCACAAGAACCAACTAAATTCAGTGCCTTTGAGGGAGTGAATGTGTCATCACTTTCTGCAATACCCATCTCTCACCTTGAGGCTGTGTTCACACTAGACCATCAAAGAAATACCTTGATTGATTCCTTTTTTTAGACAGCTAAGATCCTGCTCATGTGTGCACAGCATGTCATGATGTTCATGACATGATGCACTTTCCTGAAATATTACCTGGCCAGGCTGTTAATGTTCAGGATATTTTAATGCCGACATGATTATATTTAATACGTCCTTGTCACAGCTGCTGCTCCAGGTGCATCTCAGTCCTGCCAAGACTTCTACAACCAAATTAGTTAACATGTTATAGACTGTGTATGATGCACCACACTGAACCTGTCTCAGAATGTAGCCACGTGTAGTAGTAGTGGTGAGGTTTCACTGTTCTTAAATGTGATTAAAACATTTCTAAAGCATCTCTTTTTCAAAGTGTTTGCAAAGTCAGATTTGGAATATATTTGCAAAACATTTTACCTAGACCTGTACTGATTTACAGTAAGAGTCCAAACTGAGTGCTGGCATTTTGAGTTTTATTTAAAAAGACTCGACAGTTCTTACATGCTCTTATAAACAGAAGAAATTTGAATCCTGTGGAATGAATAGAAACTGAACATTGTAGTCATCTCAGTAACCCAGTTTATGCCCGGGGACATTCCCTTAACCCTCCCAGAGGCCTCCTCAGTGTCCTCTAATACTATGCAAGGAAAAAGTTCTTAGCTACTCATCAAGAAGAGACTTTCAAAGTTCATCTCTCTGCTGTGATAGCTTTGTGGCATACTTTTCCACAAACTTGCTTAACCCTTCTAGTGTTCTGTCTCCACCTTCAAATTTGACAGGGCTCTGTTTGCTGTTGCTTGGGGCAAAGTATATCGTGGGGAAGCCTTCCACTTTGTAGCTTTCGTTTGGCACATCGTTGGCTGTGGTATCCATCTTGGCAATAACCAGGTTCTTCTCCCCTTTGTACTTTTTGCCCAGAGCCAAATAATCAGGCTCCAGTTTCTTACAGTGGCCACACCAGGGAGCATAAAACTCAATCAGGACATCGTTCTGGGTATCCATAACAATCTCATCGAAGGTCTTTCCTACCACAACCTTTACTGGTCCTTTGTTGCTCTTTGGCACTGGCTGGGACTTGATGATGGGCTTGAGCTTTCCTGTAGAAAAGATTTGTGGAAAAAAAAAATTGTGATTTTATTTTTAAAAATTGCAAATTAATTCAAAGAATCCAGGTCTCACATCACAGTGATAAACCATGCAACTGGTGCTGCTATCGCAAGACAAAAGTCACATGTAATGAAAACATCTAATTCACTCACCTTTCTTAAAAGCTACAACAAAGTCTTGCAGCACCTCCGAGTCAAATTCTTCAGGTTCCATAGCAAACTTTTTGCCTCCTTCTGCCAGAATTCCCACATTAACTTCCTCGCCACTCTCACTCAGGCCCAGGCTCTTCAGCTCCTCTGCATAGTCCTCCTCATCAGCGATGGCAAATGTGTATTCTGGGAAGTCTTTGGCCACCGCGAGCACTTTAGACCTCCAGTACTGTGTAGCTAAATATTAGAGAACAAGATAAGAGGTTAGTTACAGCATCAATCCTCCCTAAATCAATTAGGTACAGTTTTCTTTCCCCTCCAATACCAGGTCATACAGCAGCAGACCTAAAAAAAAAAAATCAAATCACATAAAAGGACTGCACAAATTTTAATTTTATGCTCCAGCAGTGCAGCTCATAGGTCAAACCCATAAATATATGGGACACTTACCTTTCCTGTAGTCAAAACTGAAGTCAACTCCATAATACACCACCACGAGCGGCCTTTGGCTGTAACGCTTAGCATCGTTGCTTGGTTTCCTGTGGCCCACTAGTGGAATCGCATGCTTTCTGAAAAACTCCTGCACTTCTGACACTGACGTAGAGTCCTGTGTGATAAATATGCGAATGTGTCCCAAGTTTAAATGCAGCCTTTTCCAAATATATCAGAAATTACAGACTGTAAGAGGCAGGAAGTTGAGGGGTTCACCTGACAAGCTCAGTGTTAATCTGACTTATTTATACACTGGTACAAGTAAAGTGAAGAAGGACAAAACAGACAGTACCTTCAATGCCAGCGTGTGTGACTCGGGCTCGTACTTGGAGCGGAACTTCTCTGGCTGAACAGCGACAACGTGACCAGGTTTTGTTTTGAGCTGTTTGGCCACTTCAGAGCTGAACGAGTGACGGAAGGTGAAGTCTTCCCTCAGCGTGTTACCTGCCAGACAGACGAAGAGCAATGACAACAGTGTCCACAGGCCCATTTGACAAATTTCTTGACATTCCGTGCCTTCACTTTGGAGAGATATTAGAGCTTTGGCAGAAAAACAAAGGCGATTGAATCTTCACGTATAACATGCAAGTTTCAAGTGTTAAGTTTTAATTCAAAGCACTTTGGCAAAAAAGGCTGGAAATAAACTCTATGCTATGTTTTGGAAAACAGAAAAAGGTGGAGTAACTTTAATCATACTATTCATGTGACTCCCACACAGAATAAAACATGTTAAACCAAAGGCCAGGTCCTTTAGAATATAAAATATTCGGAAGTTACTCCATCATCACAAACCATAGTAACTATACGTTTGTTTGAACATGAAGGCTTGGTGACACCGAATTGCACAACATCCAATAATAAAATTTAAAGATGCTGGAACTACTTACAAGCCTCAATGTAGATCTCATAGGCTCTGTCCTGTTCGCTGGAGAACACACCAACTATGACGGTGTCATCACCATCCTTAATGAGCTCCTGCACCTGTTTTACTGTCTGCACCTGTTTGGAGGGAGGCCCTGCCTGCTCACCCATGTAGTCAACAATTCCTATCGAGAAATAAAAGAGGTGGCTCAGCTCTGATGGATGAACAGAGATTAAATGCGCACACAGGTTCACTTTTATGCATACAAACTTCAGCCAGCAACCTACCATACTTCTCTCTGGGTCCATTATAGTCAAACACCTTTCCTCTCCTAAAGATCTTGAGGGTGGGATAGCCTGTAACTCCAAAGCGTGTGGCGATCTCAGCTTCCACAGTAGCGTCCACCTTAGCCAGAGGAATGGGAGGAGAGCGCTGGCTCAGCTCCTTGGCTGCCTTCTCGTACTCTGGGGCCAAACGCTTACAGTGTCCGCACCTGGAGGTCAGTGATAACGGGCAAATAATGAACGTTTTATTAGTCTCAGGAGCTGCTATTAAAAAGCTCAAATATCACACCAATCGATGCATGCAATATTTTTACAGCAAGTCAAAAAAGCTGACATTTGCTACAACGATCAAATCTGCTATATTTTACAACAAACAGCCTAGTGACTGACCATGGGGCATAGAACTCCACCAGAATTATGTCTGCGTTATTAACGGTCTCATCAAAGTTGTCTTTGGTCAGCACCAGTGTCGCCTCAGGAGGGGGCTTCCAATCTGGCTGAGCCACCTCTTTCACCCGATCCACAATAGCTGCAACAAAGAGACACTCACCATGTTAGTGCAAATTGTTTTAGAAAGAGGGCATGTTTGCCCTGAAAAGTTCTGAATGTGTTTAAAAAGAATGAACTATTCCTACCCTTCTCTGTCCTTTCTCCATCGTAGTCCACAGGTTCCCCATTTTTAATAATCTTGATGGTAGGATAGCCTGACACTTCAAACCTTTTTGCTAACTCAGTGGCTGCTGTTGCATCCACTTTGGCCACAGGTATAGGAGGGTCATTGTCCTTAAGAGTCTGAGCGATTTTTTCATACTCTGGGGCAAACTGTTTGCAGTGGCCACACCTAAAAGAATAGAAAGAAGCATGTTTTGAGTATAATCAAGTCTTAAATGAAACTGTAACACGGTTAAAGCGTGACGTCTTTAGATGAGAAACTGTGAACATACCACGGAGCATAAAACTCAACCAAAACAGTGTCTTTCCCCTCCATGAAAGTATCAAAGTTGTTGTCCGTGACAATCAGCACCCCGTTTTCTTCTTTCACCTCCGTGTCATCATCTTCATCCTCCTCCTCCTCCTCTTCATCGTCACTGTCCTCTTCAACCTGCTCCTTGTTCTCTGTGTCATCTTGCACAAAACAAGGTAAAGAGACAGGTTGATATTAGAAGTAAGATAAAGCTAGACTAACGTGCTACTGCTACCAAAATGCCGTTTCTTTTCCACATCTGAGCTGATAATAGGAGCCAAACAGCTGCATATCTGTGTAGCAGTCCTGCTGATATTAGCTGACCAGTCCCGTTACCTAGCGCGCTAAGTTAGCAATGTAACGTTACAGTAACTTAGCTAGCTAATTTGCATAACACTAACTTGCAGAGAATATACACCAGCTGCGCTACAGCTTCACTTAAATAACGCTTTCATTTAAAACAGTCACTTCAGGTGGTTAAATGGCTCAGACTTACCATCTTCACATCTGCTGACAGTTACAAAATGTGTAACGCCGAGCAGCACAATCAGCAGTAGAGCGACCTTTCTCATTGTCTACAGATGCTGCCCCGTGTTAATGACGTGTATCTCCGAAGTAGCCGCCTAACTAACTTAGCTACTAACACTGATGAATGTCATCAAAACACTGTCGATTACACAGATGAATACTGATGTGTGGCAGTATGCACCTTTGGCTCGTGATTACACACAAACTAAACACTTCTGAAACCATCCGCTTCATCTGTCTAGAAACTTGTCTGACTTGCCACGTTGTGATTGGTTCTCATCATCGAACGTCATCCAATCACAAGTCGCCACTCAATTCCTGAGTCGAATACGTTGAAGAATACTATTGGACACTTTTTCACAGCGTATGTATTTGTTATACCAACCATTGCAACCATGAGAGGCTCCATATACAAATGATCAACAACGATAATTCACCACAATTCGTCCTTGAAGCCCAAGGGCTATGGTATTAAATATTTAGAGAACACACCAGGATAATAAAAAAGCAATCGCTTTTTTAAAGGAAGCTTAGTTTGTGTGCAGCTGCTGAACATGATAGTCAGTTCTGAAAGACGAACCCTTCCTATGGACTGTTTGGCCCCCCCACACAGACTCTAGAGCATATTATAACTTGTTAGTGTTTATAACTGCAGATTGTTTTTTTTTTCAATCCTTGTTGTATATTAAAATATAAAATCACTTTATTAATTATGATATACCAAGAACCTAGCAAACAAAAATCTATTTTCATTTATGTATGACAAAAGCTTTTGTGTTTTGTAAATCATTAATAAATTGTCCATTCATGCTCATTAGCACATTAACAGCTGCATGCTTTTTTAAATTACACAGTGTCCCAGCCAGAGCTAACATCTCCACAGGAACCATTTCCAGGCTCCTCGTGGACTATAGCCTCCACCACCACTTCTGTATGGGTGGTCTGAATCTCCTTCAGAGCATCTTCTGTCCAAATCCTGATGAGCGATGCTGACTCTTGGAGGGACAGAAAGTTTTTTCCCCTTACATAAGTCTGAATCTCTCTGTCATTTGGTTTGTTTTCTTCATTTCCTTTTCCTCGTTGCTCCAGATTATCTGATGCCACAACAAGGTCTGAGGAGGGATTGTTTTTCCTCTGACCTCTCTGCTGCAGGAACTGCAGTACCTCCAGTTCAAGCCTAGACCTGGTAATGCAGCGTCATGCAGGAAAACATAGAAATTCTTATTATTTTGTAATTTATGATATTTCTTAAGAATGTTCTAATAGATGCTAGAGAAATTTTATTACCTGAGCAGATGAGATGCATGTGAGGTTTTTCCATGTCCACTGACATTCGTAAGATGTGTGCTTATCAGTTTTCCAGAAGACACCTTTTCAAAATAATGTACTGTGTGTGAGACAAGTATGTATGAGTGTGTCTGTGTCTTTTCTGCATGTTTGACATGAGGCTGGCTCACTTGTGTGTCCATGCTGAAGGGCTCCTGTGTAGGTGAGGTGATAGGACTCTCCTCCTCCATGTAGCACTGCGCTTTGGGGGGCAGAGTTTGATGCAGCCTGTTTAAGACGGCATTGAGTTTGAACAACAGTTCATCTACTGAGCTTTCAAACTCTTCAAGGTAGTAAGTCTGAAAAAGAAAAGATAAAAGTTCTTCTTATTTTTGAAATGTGTAAAAACTGTCAAAATGTTGTAGTTGGTGCAGTTTCAGGAGGTACATCAAGACCACATTTCTGGGAAATGTGGGCACCTTTCTCTCCATGTGGTTATCAGTCCGTGTTGGTCCAGTGAACTCAGAAACCTTCTGCCTGATGTAGCTGGCTAATTCTGCTACAGTGAGGGCCTTCCTCCTTCTCTGAGACCTTTTCACACTTCTGACCATTGAGGATACAGCACCCATTACCTATCAGAAAGACTGCCTGTTAGAATATAACACAGATCTCTTTCTTCCACTGGTTGTTTTGCCTTTGTATAAATCAGTCAAGTCTCTTGCCCATTCAGTCACAATTTTTACAAAGAAGAAAACTGTTAAATTTTATAGTACCACTGCTGTCCATGCTACAGTGGAGGATAGACAAAGAAGTCCACAGTAAAGGAAATCACGGCCAGAGAACAAGAGGCCCTTAATGGCCCTGAGCCCACAGCGGTTACTGAGCAGAGTCTGAAGTGTGCGGGGGATGGAGCTGAAGGCCCAGGAGCTTTGTACGAACAGCAGATTCCCCACACAGGACAGTGCCACAAGCAGGATCAGACCTGAAATCTAGAACAGTACCAGCATCTTAGAATTTGTTTCTAACCAAATCAGAACAACCACACACACAGGCCTGTACATGCAATGATTCCCAGCTGAAGATAGACTAGTTAATGAGGCTATAGGCACTAATCCTGTCATATATGACCTGGACACTTGACTTTCTCTTTGTAAAATAAACTTAACAGAGATAGTGCTTAGAATGAACACCTTTCCTAGCTGGTGTTACTGTACTTTGTGATTACCATGGGCCAGTAGAGGATGGAGAGTGAGCGGGTGAAGAGTGTAGCAGAGGTAGCCAGGGTTCTATTCACCCTCAACACAGTCACACACTTGATGGCGATAAGGAAGAGCATAACACCACGCAGAGTACAGATATTCTGCAGAGACAAAGGACATCTCCATCAGTCAATCACTGCTGTCTTTAAATCTGTGATCTCTTAGAGGACTTCTTGACTTCAAAATTGGGTTTTCCTAATGTATTTAATGAGGCTGTGCCTAACAAAAACAACAGCCTTCATACACAGCCTGTTTCCTATAAAGTATCACAATAACAACATGTACAATACATATTAAATGTACTGTTTTAATAGTGCTCTCCCAATAGCTACTCATAATTATCTTATTAAAAATGAGGCTCTTTCATTTCCAGGGATAGTACTGTTTCATTAGTCCCTTCTCTCACTTGTTCCATAGTAGCCAAGAGGCTGACATCAACATGTCCTTTATAGTTGTGTCTCTGAAGCAGCTCCACAATGTCCATGGTAAGAACAGATTGACAAAGGTAATAAACATAGTGCGCTAGGTTCACTGTCAGCAAAGTGACCTGCAAAAGAGAGAGATATAGAAAAGTGAGGTACAGCAATAAAGCATAATCAGGTACAGTACATGCCATACTCTGTGGTCAAAACCATGCACACAGCTTTGGTTTTGAATTTCAAATACTTTTTTTCTGTGTGGTTTAATACACACTTAGTTTAAGGAGGACAGGTTACTTTACTCTGTCATCTAGGTCATTGTGATCTTGTTTGCATTGGTGTGTGGCCAACTGTGTGTCTGTGTGTGTTATGGTTTATGGACTTGCTTCCTGTTTTGTGCTTTTATTTTGGTTAGTTTCCTGTCTTGTGTCACCTCACCTGCCCCAGCTTTACCCCAGTTCACAATCACCATTCATTGTTTCCACCTGCTGCTCGTTATCCTCTGGTCACCTGCCTATATATACTCCTCCCTTCCTATCTGTCTCTTGCTGGTTGTCTCCATGTGTCGTTGCCCCTGTCATCTCCATTCTATCAGCTCTCCACTCCTGCATCTCTGCCCCATTAGCTCAGTACCCATCTTTTGTTTGTTCCTGACTTCATTTGAATGTCTCATTTTTGTCTGAGTTTTTCCGATCAGCAGTATTTTGGTTTACTTCACTGGTTTGGTTTTCGTTTTGGTACCCAGCTCCCTGACCTAGTCTTGTGCATTTTGATTTACTACATCAGGTTGAGCCTTGTATTTTCTTCCCATTCCTTGTTTTGTGTTGCATTAAAATCCTATCTGCATATCTGGGTCCTTCCTTTGCCCGAAACACAAGTGTGTGCCTGTGCATATGTTCCAGTCGTGTCTGGGGTTTTTTTTAAATCCTTTTGTGAATTATGAAATTTGCCTGTGCATTTATGCATATGTGCTAGGCTCACTTCCAGCCAGTTAGAGGGTGTCCTGCAGTATCCCATCAGTCCTTGCTGCCTTACAGTGTTTATTTGATGACGGAGCAGCAGCAGGGACAAGAGGAGGAAGAGGAGCTGGTGAAAAAAAGAAAACAGGAGGTACCTTCAAGCTGCTGACAAAAACAAACCTCATCACTGTTTTCTTGTGTTAACATTTGATTATAAATTTTGCTTTCTCAGCTGCTGAGTGGTTTTACAGTGGTGTTAAAGACTATGTGAGGTATGCATTTTACCTGGCACATCATAGCAACATAGTCCCACCCAGCAGGATTGTGATACACCCTAACTGACTGGACTTTGGAAGAGGGCAGCAGGACACCAATGGGGCTCTGCTGAGTAAGCAGCGTCACACTGGTGAATAGGTTGGGTGCCGGGCTGTACAAGGTGAACTGCACCTTCATGTCCACTGTCTGCTCCCCGAGCCAGTCACCTGAGTGTAGCTGCTTCAGTATGGATGCAGCATCAGACCTGAAGATGATAGTGGATATCACTGACGCGTACAAAACCTGATCTGACGGGAAATTATTTTAGAAAGACTCAATTGTTTCCACTATGTGTGCATGTATACAGTCCAGACTAAGTATATGGACATATACACATTTTTTGATCTTCAGTTTTAGTGCTTTAGCACATTTAACTTATACTACATTAAAGTGCCAAATCTCAGCTTTCATTTAAGTAAGTTTATGCCAATATTAAAAGAACTGTGTGAGAGATCTAACCAGTTTAAGACACAGTGCTCAAATTGCAAGGGTTCAGAAGTAATTGGACACGTTGCTATTAAATGTTTCTTGGGTAGCTGTGTCAATTCAACATGTGGCTCAGAGTTGATTGAGTAGCCATTTTGATTGTAGTTCTCTGTTAATGAGGAGTAAAGAGGTGGCAGTGCAAGCAACCAGGTAATGAAATTTAAACAATTTAGGGAGATATCAAGGGCAGTTGATTATATTCACAAAAAACAGGTGTAAACAGGAAAACTAAAATGAAAAACAACCTGGTAGACTAGTTTGTGAATGACAGGAAAATTAGCCCTAAGTCAACAATGGTAGTAGGTATACATGCCTCCTTATCCACTTTTTCAGGATGAAAAGATGGACAATCCTCATCTGGCTGAATCCATTACCCTAATTTTCCACAAACTGTTAAATATGATGATTTTGACTGTGCTTCTGTTCAGTTACATTTGAACTCCTAAACATTGAACGCTGTGTGAGCTGTCTCACACTGCTCTTTCTATTTTGATGTAAATCTACTCAATTAAGCACTGTAATGGAGTATCAGTCATCTTATATTATGTGCTAAATTACCCAATCTGAATAATCAAAGTCGGGTAACTGGTCCCAGCTAACACGTATGGCCTGGACTGTATTTCTCACTTTGTGTGGCCTAAGCCAACTGCAGCACTTGACTTCGAGTAGCAGCCCAGACGCCCACATGTTTTTGGAGGCAATGCCACAGGAATCACGACATTGGATTGCGCGTGAGTGGACGCTCTGCTCCCCATCAAGAATAAACGAAGACATTCTGGTACCACAGGCACACTAGAGACCTGAGAAGTCAGTATGTAGACAAAATAAACAGTCAGAACATCACATCAAAGGTACACACATGGCTGTCACTTTGCTGTAACTGTACTATCTGTACAGGCATGTCTCCTTTAGTTACTTACCTGGCTCTGAAATGAGCAGGACACCTCTGACTTCCACAGCATTGGCTCTCCAATCAAGATGTGCAACTGCTGAAAACAAACTATCAGTTGGTTACAATGAAAAAAGTAGCAGCCCAGATGACCACATATTTGACTTTGCATTATTAAAATATGAAACACGATCTTGTTTTTTTTTTTTTATGGAACAGAGACTTTCATACAAGGCAAAAAGTATTTTCATACTTGGAGAATATAACCGTTATTGACTGGGTGATGTCAGAATAGTCTTTCTCTTTAGAACTTTAAGTCAGTTTACCTCGGTTTTGGATGCATTCTTGTATAGTACGTTTAGTAGGCTAGTCTGGGTCCACTTCCACCAGTCCTCCTGCTTTTGTATGGACATAAATTCATTATCACTGTTCCTGCTG